CCGATCTCTGACGCCACCTTCCTGAGTTTCTGACTAGAGCGACTGATAAGAATGATGTTCACTTACCGATCTCGGAAGCCACCTTCCTGAGTTTCTCATTAGAGCGACTAATAAGAATGATGTTCACTTACCGATCTCTGAAGCCACCTTCCTTAGTTTCTCACTAGAGCGACTGATAAGAATGATGTTCACTTACCAATCTCTGAAGCCACCTTCCTGAGTTTCTCACTAGAGCGACTGATAAGAATGATGTTCACTTACCGATCTCTGAAGCCACCTTCCTGAGTTTCTCACTAGAGCGACTGATAAGAATGATGTTCACTTACCGAACTCTGAGCCTATTTCCTGAGTTTCTCACTAGAGCGACTGATAAGAATGATGTTCACTTACCGATCTCTGAAGCCACCTTCCTGAGTTTCTCGTTAGAGCGACTGATAAGAATGATGTTCACTTACCGATCTCTGAAGCCACCTTCCTGAGTTTCTCGTTAGAACGACTGATAAGAATGATGTTCACTTACCGATCTCTCAAGCCACCTTCCTTAGTTTCTCACTAGAGCGACTGATAAGAATGATGTTCACTTACCGATCTCTGAAGCCACCTTCCTGAGTTTCTCACTAGAGCGACTGATAAGACTGATGTTCACTTACCGATCTCTGAAGCCACCTTCCTGAGTTTCTCACTAGAGCGACTGATAAGAATGATGTTCACTTACCGATCTCTGAAGCCACCTTCCTTAGTTTCTCACTAGAGCGACTGATAAGAATGATGTTCACTTACCGAACTCTGAGCCTATTTCCTGAGTTTCTCACTAGAGCGACTGATAAGAATGATGTTCACTTACCGATCTCTGAAGCCACCTTCCTGAGTTTCTCGTTAGAGCGACTGATAAGAATGATGTTCACTTACCGATCTCTGAAGCCACCTTCCTAAGTTTCTCATTAGAGCGACTGATAAGAATGATGTTCACTTACCGATCTCTGAAGCCACCTTCCTGAGTTTCTCACTAGAGCGACTGATAAGAATGATGTTCACTTACCAATCTCTGAAGCCACCTTCCTGAGTTTCTCACTAGAGCGACTGATAAGAATGATGTTCACTTACCGATCTCTGAAGCCACCTTCCTGAGTTTCTCACTAGAGCGACTGATAAGACTGATGTTCACTTACCGATCTCTGAAGCCACCTTCCTAAGTTTCTCATTAGAGCGACTGATAAGAATGATGTTCACTTACCGATCTCTGACGCCACCTTCCTGAGTTTCTGACTAGAGCGACTGATAAGAATGATGTTCACTTACCGATCTCTCAAGCCACCTTCCTGAGTTTCTCACTAGAGCGACTGATAAGACTGATGTTCACTTACCGATCTCTGAAGCCACCTTCCTGAGTTTCTCACTAGAGCGACTGATAAGAATGATGTTCACTTACCAATCTCTGAAGCCACCTTCCTGAGTTTCTCACTAGAGCGACTGATAAGAATGATGTTCACTTACCGATCTCTGAAGCCACCTTCCTGAGTTTCTCACTAGAGCGACTGATAAGAATGATGTTCACTTACCGAACTCTGAGCCTATTTCCTGAGTTTCTCACTAGAGCGACTGATAAGAATGATGTTCACTTACCGATCTCTGAAGCCACCTTCCTGAGTTTCTCGTTAGAGCGACTGATAAGAATGATGTTCACTTACCGATCTCTGAAGCCACCTTCCTGAGTTTCTCGTTAGAACGACTGATAAGAATGATGTTCACTTACCGATCTCTCAAGCCACCTTCCTTAGTTTCTCACTAGAGCGACTGATAAGAATGATGTTCACTTACCGATCTCTGAAGCCACCTTCCTGAGTTTCTCACTAGAGCGACTGATAAGACTGATGTTCACTTACCGATCTCTGAAGCCACCTTCCTGAGTTTCTCACTAGAGCGACTGATAAGAATGATGTTCACTTACCGATCTCTGAAGCCACCTTCCTTAGTTTCTCACTAGAGCGACTGATAAGAATGATGTTCACTTACCGAACTCTGAGCCTATTTCCTGAGTTTCTCACTAGAGCGACTGATAAGAATGATGTTCACTTACCGATCTCTGAAGCCACCTTCCTGAGTTTCTCGTTAGAGCGACTGATAAGAATGATGTTCACTTACCGATCTCTGAAGCCACCTTCCTAAGTTTCTCATTAGAGCGACTGATAAGAATGATGTTCACTTACCGATCTCTGAAGCCACCTTCCTGAGTTTCTCACTAGAGCGACTGATAAGAATGATGTTCACTTACCGATCTCTGAAGCCACCTTCCTGAGTTTCTCACTAGAGCGACTGATAAGACTGATGTTCACTTACCGATCTATGAAGCCACCTTCCTGAGTTTCTCACTAGAGCGACTGATAAGACTGATGTTCACTTACCGATCTCTGAAGCCACCTTCCTGAGTTTCTCACTAGAGCGACTGATAAGAATGATGTTCACTTACCGATCTCTGAAGCCACCTTCCTGAGTTTCTCACTAGAGCGACTGATAAGACTGATGTTCACTTACCGATCTCTGAAGCCACCTTCCTAAGTTTCTCATTAGAGCGACTGATAAGAATGATGTTCACTTACCGATCTCTGACGCCACCTTCCTGAGTTTCTGACTAGAGCGACTGATAAGAATGATGTTCACTTACCGATCTCTCAAGCCACCTTCCTGAGTTTCTCACTAGAGCGACTGATAAGACTGATGTTCACTTACCGATCTCTGAAGCCACCTTCCTGAGTTTCTCACTAGAGCGACTGATAAGAATGATGTTCACTTACCGATCTCTGAAGCCACCTTCCTTAGTTTCTCACTAGAGCGACTGATAAGAATGATGTTCACTTACCGATCTCTGAAGCCACCTTCCTGAGTTTCTCACTAGAGCGACTGATAAGACTGATGTTCACTTACCGATCTCTGAAGCCACCTTCCTAAGTTTCTCACTAGAGCGACTGATAAGACTGATGTTCACTTACCGATCTCTGAAGCCACCTTCCTAAGTTTCTCACTAGAGCGACTGATAAGACTGATGTTCACTTACCGATCTCTGAAGCCACCTTCCTAAGTTTCTCACTAGAGCGACTGATAAGACTGATGTTCACTTACCGATCTCTGAAGCCACCTTCCTAAGTTTCTCACTAGAGCGACTGGTAAGACTGATGTTCACTTACCGATCTCTGAAGCCACCTTCCTAAGTTTCTCATTAGAGCGACTGATAAGAATGATGTTCACTTACCGATCTCTGAAGCCACCTTCCTAAGTTTCTCATTAGAGCGACTGATAAGAATGATGTTCACTTACCGATCTCTGAAGCCACCTTCCTAAGTTTCTCATTAGAGCGACTGATAAGAATGATGTTCACTTACCGATCTCTGACGCCACCTTCCTGAGTTTCTGACTAGAGCGACTGATAAGAATGATGTTCACTTACCGATCTCGGAAGCCACCTTCCTGAGTTTCTCATTAGAGCGACTAATAAGAATGATGTTCACTTACCGATCTCTGAAGCCACCTTCCTTAGTTTCTCACTAGAGCGACTGATAAGAATGATGTTCACTTACCAATCTCTGAAGCCACCTTCCTGAGTTTCTCACTAGAGCGACTGATAAGAATGATGTTCACTTACCGATCTCTGAAGCCACCTTCCTGAGTTTCTCACTAGAGCGACTGATAAGAATGATGTTCACTTACCGAACTCTGAGCCTATTTCCTGAGTTTCTCACTAGAGCGACTGATAAGAATGATGTTCACTTACCGATCTCTGAAGCCACCTTCCTGAGTTTCTCGTTAGAGCGACTGATAAGAATGATGTTCACTTACCGATCTCTGAAGCCACCTTCCTGAGTTTCTCGTTAGAACGACTGATAAGAATGATGTTCACTTACCGATCTCTCAAGCCACCTTCCTTAGTTTCTCACTAGAGCGACTGATAAGAATGATGTTCACTTACCGATCTCTGAAGCCACCTTCCTGAGTTTCTCACTAGAGCGACTGATAAGACTGATGTTCACTTACCGATCTCTGAAGCCACCTTCCTGAGTTTCTCACTAGAGCGACTGATAAGAATGATGTTCACTTACCGATCTCTGAAGCCACCTTCCTTAGTTTCTCACTAGAGCGACTGATAAGAATGATGTTCACTTACCGAACTCTGAGCCTATTTCCTGAGTTTCTCACTAGAGCGACTGATAAGAATGATGTTCACTTACCGATCTCTGAAGCCACCTTCCTGAGTTTCTCGTTAGAGCGACTGATAAGAATGATGTTCACTTACCGATCTCTGAAGCCACCTTCCTGAGTTTCTCGTTAGAACGACTGATAAGAATGATGTTCACTTACCGATCTCTCAAGCCACCTTCCTGAGTTTCTCACTAGAGCGACTGATAAGAATGATGTTCACTTACCGATCTCTGAAGCCACCTTCCTAAGTTTCTCATTAGAGCGACTGATAAGAATGATGTTCACTTACCGATCTCTGAAGCCACCTTCCTGAGTTTCTCATTAGAGCGACTAATAAGAATGATGTTCACTTACCGATCTCTGAAGCCACCTTCCTGAGTTTCTCGTTAGAGCGACTGATAAGAATGATGTTCACTTACCGATCTCTGAAGCCACCTTCCTTAGTTTCTCACTAGAGCGACTGATAAGAATGATGTTCACTTACCGATCTCTGAAGCCACCTTCCTGAGTTTCTCATTAGAGCGACTGATAAGAATGATGTTCACTTACCGATCTCTGAAGCCACCTTCCTGAGTTTCTCACTAGAGCGACTGATAAGAATGATGTTCACTTACCGATCTCTGAAGCCACCTTCCTGAGTTTCTCACTAGAGCGACTGAAAAGAATGATGTTCACTTACCGATCTCTGAAGCCACCTTCCTGAGTTTCTCGTTAGAGCGACTGATAAGAATGATGTTCACTTACCGATCTCTGAAGCCACCTTCCTGAGTTTCTCATTAGAGCGACTAATAAGAATGATGTTCACTTACCGATCTCTGAAGCCACCTTCCTGAGTTTCTCGTTAGAGCGACTGATGAGAATGATGTTCACTCCATGATGAGCTAATTCCATAGCATATGCTTTACCTATACCGTCGGTGGAACCAGTTACAACTGACAAGAGGAGAGCAAGAGAGAAAAGGGATCTAAGTAGAAATTAATGTAATGTTAATTGTTATTGTATAATTGTTTTAAATGGGGGCACGCTACAAGCGTCCTATCTTGCACCCCGGGGCAACATGTCTGATATTGATATTTATAATGCTATGTTTATTATGAAATTATGAAGAAAAACTGTGATAATGCCATTACGAGCTTGTAGCTCGCGCAGTTTTTCCTTCATAATCATTTTGCCTTCGGCGTAGACTAGAAGGGATCATATCTGATTGATACACGTCTGTAAAAACCCAATACACTCACTCACTCACTCTAGATGAAGTCATGCACAGCGAGAGTTAAAATATGGCTTGCAAGATTTTCAACATGGATGTCGATTTTGACCCATAATTTCCTAAAAAGGGACCATTAAACGGATTAATTCAGTCAAGTTGGTAAGTGGAACCGATGTATTATAGCTTAGGCCTAATTTAGAAAATAAAATGCATGGGATATGCATGAGGTAAAATGACATTTTGGGGGATTTTCGGGGCATAAAAATATGGCCATGGAATTAGCAAGGGAATGCGTATAGTCGGTTTCTGTCAAACTTCTCATATGGTTTATGGTATTACGCGCATGCACGACACCATAATCCATACGAGAAGATGCATAATTTTGGACTGATAGCTTCAGTTTAAGTTGCAAAGCTAGCGTAGAGTCGGTACTGAGCGACGATGTCGACATCGAAGCCTTAAACGGAGGCTTCCTGATTTCGGATGTGATCCAAATTCAGGTGGAAAATGTGATATATGATTATGATTAAAATTAGTAAAAAATTGGGCTAAATTTCCTTTGTTAAGAACAGTAGGGGCGCTGGTCCGAGAATGAGGATCGTCCTCATAAACGAGGATCGTCCTCATAAACGAGGATCGTCCTCATAAACGAGGATATCCTCATAAACGCGGACAAAATGCGTCCTCATATTTAACAAGGATCGTCTGCATTTTCGCATACGTTTTTTTTCATCGGCGCTCTACGGGTTTCGGGTTACCGAACCGCCCACTGGCAATGCCAAATTTGGATTCCCCAGGGGAGAATAACCCTAGTTGACCGTCTACTTTTATGGGTTGTCCGTCTTCCCAAGGATTTATTGCTCATAATGTGAAGGTCTCTGTACAAAGTCAATGTAAAATGCATCAAGAAAATCATCCCGGAATCCGTTTTTTGCATCGCCAACGTGCCGATCAAAAATATGGAACATCTTCGTTTATGAAGACGATCCTTATTCTCGGACCAGTGCCCCTACTGAAGAATGGATATTCAACTGCTGAAGAATGGATATTCAACTGCTTAAAAAAATGGATACGGAACTACACTAGCGCCAAAATGTGCATAGAGTAAAAGAGGGGGTAATCGACCATCACCAGTTTTCGGCCAATCCGTTGGATGCATGGTAAAATCCCTTTAAAATACATCACATAACAGCATATCACATATGCCACACATACCATACCATGCCACACATACATGTACCATACCATGCCAGAGTTGCTGAAGAACCACATTTGCAATGAAAAATATATCTTAAAATATCACATTTTAGCGATGTGATCGGCGGTCCCGCTACCCGAATCTGAAAAATCAAGTATCTTAGGCGTGTCTGTAAGAAATATGGGTACCATAAAATGAGCTTTATTTCAAGTATTTTTTAGATTTAGAGCCTGATTTTGTGTTAGTCGCAAGCTCAAAAGTATCTCACCTAGTGCTGTAGTCAAACGTTTAACTGTCCGGTATCCGACCGCCCATGGCGGATTCCGATTTCAATTGGACGGTTTCGTTTTCCCGTTTTTTTTTTTTTTTTTCTTTTTTTTTTTTTTTTTTTAATAATTTTTTTTTTTTTTTTAATAATTTTTTTTTAATTTTTTTTTTTTAAAGTTTCGATTTATGCCCCTCCACCTTGCACTATGCCTGGCAATGTCTCCCAGCTCAGTAATCGGTGTGATGACTTACCACTTGGAAACTAGAACAACACTCCAATTTGTCTGTCATCTTGGTTTGAAAGTAATCTTTGTAATAGATCTCAATATATATTCATCCAAGTTTAACACATGGTGTACCACAAGGTTCTATCCTAGGTCCTCTACTTTTTTTCATTTACTTTAATGATCTTACACATTATTCTAAAACGACATTGTTACTATTATTTGTGACTAGTTCACAAGCACAAATCGGCGCCTTTAGTTAAATCACCTTCCTGCTTTTTCACACGGCCAAAAAAAAAAAAAAAAAAAAAAAAAAAAAAAAAAAAAAAAAAAAATTAATAAATCGTTTAACCGAAAACCGTCCGGTTTTGACAGGCGGTTAAACGGAATTGGAGATATCCGTGATGTTACAGCACTAATCTCACCGCATGTATTAAATCAATGCAGCCGGACACCGCAACGCACACACGATATCTCTGTCTAATTCAGATTCCAAATTCCGATCACCGCAGTACTAGTTTTCGGCCCGGCGAGCTGCGGCGTGGGATACCTGCTCTGCCCGCTAGTACTATAGATCAGCGTGGAAACGCATGGGGCGCGCGCGAGCTTCCTATATTGACTTTGTACATGCGGCCGAAAACTGGTTTCGTTATGCCGATATTAAACTGCCTCCGAAACAGTGAAAATTGAAATGAATATTGTCATGGCAATTCGTGATTTTTTTCTTGGATTCTTTTTTTTGTTTAAATAATAATAATATTTGCTTCATGATTTGAACATGAAATGATAATAAATAGGAAGTAAAGGGTCCAAAAAATAGGATTTTGTCTTAAGTGGACGAAAAACCCCTCCTTTACTCTAGATCTAGACTACAGTTCAATGCAAAATGAAAAATTGTCATTCTCATGCAAGCAAGCTTGACAAGTAGCCCCCGAAATGATTTAATTTTTTTCTTTCTGTGCTAGCTAGATCTAATGCAGCTATGTGTGGTCAGGCATGACTACCGTAGTCCGTACACGTAGTGCATTAGTCCGAGACACTGTGATGTATCTTGATCAATGTAAATCCATATCAATGTATGTACATGTAATGGCGCCACCTACTGGTATTATGCCAGACAAAGTGGCGCTAGTGCAGCAAGGTATCCAAAATATAGCCTACTAAAACAGACCCCAAATTTCAGACCCCAAATTTTGTGGTCATCATTACCCTAACCCTAACCCTAACCCTAACCCTAACCCTAACCCTAGAGATAATGATAAACACGTAGTGCGTACACACTTAGTCTAAGAGACAACATATTTCTCACATATAAATGAAGGTATGGGACTGAAATGTTTTTACCTGCCCACTCTCCGAATTCTTTGACAAGATCTCGTTTTGGTCTCAGTTTAGGATAAAGATGCATCCGGATAACATACTGCACCCTGTAACAGGTGACAATAACTTTCTTTGTCACATAGTAAGCTCCGATCAATGACAAGACCTCAGAGTAGATATGAAAACCGTTCGAAACTTGTCGGAAAAGAAGATCAAAACCATCTACCACTGCAGCCATGTTTACCACTAGTCTTTGTTTAAGGCTGTTAACAGTAAACAGATTTGTCATCTCTCTCTTTCTCTCTCTCCCTCTCTTTCTCTCTCTCTCCCTCTCTCTACCTCTCTGATATGCCTGCTCCCTGTCTATCTCAAGATTCAAGATTCAAGATTCAAGATTTTTTATTTCTTTCCACTTGCATAAAAAAACATTTCATTCAGTAACAGTAGTAACAAGTTCATCGTAAACTAGCATAAATACATTAACAATGAAACAGTTATAAAGACTTTAACAAATGTGGAAAAAGAGGTGGTCTGTTAAAAAAGCACAGCTTGTTAAAACACAGATCACCTTTACAGAAACAACATTTTTTTTTTAAAGAAGTAGGTTATATTACAGGGGGAGGGGACTAATATAATCTAGTTAGCTATACAGACTATAAATAAATATCAGATCTACCACTAATTTACAAAATATGGTAGACTAAAAAAAAAAAAAAAAAAAAACAGAAAAAAGATAATGAAAAAGTAAAGAAATAGGGGAAGGAGGATAATGTACAACACGGGGGGGGGGGGGGGGCAATGCTAATCCAGTTACATATATTAAATACTAATAAAAATCAGATCTATTCACTGTAGGTGTACAGTAGATGAAATTTCAGCTTACGTTTCAGGCTCTCTCTCTCTCTCTCTACCTCTCTCTCTCTCTCTTTCTACCTCTCTGATATGCCTGCTCCCTGTCTATCTCTTCCCATCTCTCTCTCTCTCTACCTCTCTACCTCTCTGATATGCCTGCTCCCTGTCTATATCTCTTCCCATCTCTCTCTCTCTCTCTGTCTCTCTCCCTCTTTCTTTCTCTCTCTCCCTCTCGTATATTCTCTTCTATATAAGATTTCCACAATCTCTCTCTCTACCTCTCTGATATGCCTGCTCCATGTCTATCTCTTCCCATCTCTCTCTCTCTCTCTCTACCTCTCTACCTCTCTGATATGCCTGCTCCCTGTCTATATCTCTTCCCATCTCTCTCTCTCTCTCTCTGTCTCTCTCCCTCTTTCTTTCTCTCTCTCCCTCTCGTATATTCTCTTCTATATAAGATTTCCACAATCTCTCTCTCTACCTCTCTGATATGCCTGCTCCATGTCTATCTCTTCCCATCTCTCTCTCTCTCTCTCTCTCTCTCTACCTCTCTACCTCTCTGATATGCCTGCTCCCTGTCTATATCTCTTCCCATCTCTCTCTCTCTCTCTCTCTCTCTCCCTCTTTCTTTCTCTCTCTCCCTCTCGTATATTCTCTTCTATATAAGATTTCCACAATCTCTCTCTCTACCTCTCTGATATGCCTGCTCCCTGTCTATCTCTTCCCATCTCTCTCTCAGTCTCTCTCTCTCTACCTCTACCTCTCTGATGTGCCTGCTCCCTGTCTATCTCTTCCCATCTCTCTCTCTTTCAGAGACAGACAAGATTGTACTCTTCAATGCATTATTAAGAACAATCAAATTTCCAGTGAATATTATTGACTAACCTTTACAGCTGTCGACACAAAACTATTTCGGGCTACATTTAGGCATATTGATACTTTACTTTTGAAACGAGATTCAAAATGGATTATATATTATATTTATTGATTTTTAAAAAATATTTTAGAGGTGAGGTTATGAGTTCGTTGGGGTTAGGATTAAGGTCAGTGATAACTGATCATCGAGGATTCATTTTTTCTTTTATCAATTTGACAAAAGTCTCAACAAACAGAGAAGACGTCTGACCACAGGCACATGGAAAAGATCCAGTTAGTATGCCTCTCGAAATTCTCGATGCGTTTATTACCCTACAGTTGAAAACAAGAAAAGGGAAAATATAAAGATTTATTACATATATAGATATTTATATGCTGTATCCTTACAATGTGCATGCACCGATTGTATTTCAGAAACAGTAGTGTTATATGATAGAGGGTGTGATTCTGCTAGCGGGATAATGAAGAGGTGTATAATGTGCACTCTTAAAGCAATGTAGAGTTGGGTACAATTTTGAACATAAGAGGTCAAAATGGGAAGAAATATGTTTGTTGGGTGAATTTACTCAACCTTCGTTAAACATTGCCCAGCGTTGGTAAACTCTTACCCAACAAACATGCATTGTTCCGTTCTTTTCCTCTTATGAGTAACGGTTACCCAACCCTTTAAAAAGTATGAAGATACTTATGGGAAGAATATAAATTGGATAATTCTCTCAATTTTAATTAATTTTAGGTTATTAGAAATGACTCCGTGCCCTATATACGAAAAGGCAATCCTAAAGCAGAGCAAGTTACCATGTCGTGCTTAGTCATTTAATCATCGTATTGTTAACTCATCAATCAAATGACAACGATGGTTGTTCGAGCCTGACTTGAAGGAAATAAACATGCCCTTCATAATGTTATTTTTTAGAAATGTTATATGCAAAGTCTTTTTGACCGAAATTATGCGCACTTGCTTGTCGAGTACTCCTTCATTTCTTAGTCTTTAAAACAATACAAAAAATACAATGCCGGTATTCATGACTATCGTTAATATTGCCAATAAAATTATTTATGCCTGTACTGCACATCCACGAGTCATATATCAGCGTTAAAAGTATTGATATTATTAACTTAATAATTACGTTAAAAATGGCATTGATCATTTTGAGGCTGGTAACGGAGGTGGTATAGAATACATCGAAAGAAATATTATCCAGCCGATTTTTAAAGTTTGTCTTCTTTGATTTTCTCATTTTCATGACTATGTGATAGAGGTGTCGAATTGAAAAAAAATAGAGGTGGATTATTATTATTCATAAAATGAGCATACTATTTCTCATGCATTTTTATTTAGATTTGGAAATATTGTTAAATACAAGCTCGTACCGTTAGCAACGCACAATGTCTGATATTGTTCGAAATTACCGCCTGACCGTCTTAGCTGCTTACAATATTCCTCTACTGCTTCTGCTGAACTTTGGAACAGATTGCCTTTAAATGTAAAAAACTGTCAAACTGTTAACCTATTCAAAACTAGTCTCAAGACACATTTATTCAAAATTGCGTTTGATGATTAATTAACTCTGTTCACTTTGACGTGTATTCCATATGTATTGTAATTTGTATGTCTATTTGCATTTATAGTTTTGTATAAGATGTAATTGTATATCAGTCTATTTTGTGTGTATAGCGCTTAGAGACTTCGGTGGTAAGCGCTTTATAAGTTAACATTTTTATTCTTATTATTAATACAAAAATAAAAGACAAACAAATAATCGAAACAATAGTAAATCAATAAATCAAATCAAATCAAACAAAATTTGGTTGGTAAAGTTATCACGATATATCATCGGCCAGGATAAGAAGTGATAAAAAGTATCTTTCTGAAAGTGCAAACTTTCTACAAATCTGGTCGGATTACGTCAAAACATCATTGCCATGTTGGCACATTTCAATAGGTGACCGCACAATCATACAGCTATTAGAATGGCTTTTATAGGTTGGTTGTTTTGTAATCGTGTTCGTTTTAGTTGTTTGATAACATTATAAATAAATTGCTTACTGTCTTGTTGCTCCTCGACACTCAACGCATTGGAATTGTCGATCTCATCTTCCTCGACTAAAACACTTGCTACCACGGCCAATGCAATCAGACAGTAGAGAGAAATCATGGTTTTTGACGCCATTTTTAAAGTCCAAGAAAAATAGAATCAACATGGAATACATTTTGATCATTTGGTCAAAGATACGGTGACATTGCAATGCAATTAAGAATGTCAGCATAGAATCGTGACGTACTGAAACTTTCCTTTTACAGAATGAACAGAAATCGGACAATATAAAGTTATAACAGAAAGTGAAGGAACAATAATGGGCTTTGAGACGACAGGCTGCCAGAAAATACTTGAATTGTGGTTTACTGTGATGAATGCCAGGCGGAAGGCTTCAGAATATCCACATTCAATCATAGTTTTCGCTTTCAGGAACCATCAACTGAGAATGTTTGTAATGCCCTGTTGAAAGATGATGTTCCCGGCCCACTTCTGCACTGCTCTCATTGCATGCACTTTAATAACGGCTTTGACGATGATAAAGATTCAACGCACAGTCTCGTTTTCAAAGAATAGAAGAAGGCGAATGTAATGTCTTTAAAATGCTATCGTGACACAGAAAATATTAAGAAATTGAATTTAATTAATGATCTGACAACAGTGCTTAACATACTTAGTATGTCAAGCAGTAATGAGTAATGTTAGAAGGTAGTCTACCTTCTAACATTACTCATACTTACGTAAAGCTAATCTCAATGAGCTCTGGTATGGGAATCGTATTTTGAAAGACATTCGCTACGATTTATTCTAGATTGTTGATCCTGCAGCAGATTTGCCCTGTACTAAAAGACTTTATAAGCTTACTCTCTTAAAAAAAGAGTGAATTGTCACTCCATTTTCACCTTCTTGGGAGTGACGTCCGTGATCACTTGTTTAGGAGTAAAAAATCGATTGATTTTAGAGTGCTCTCTAAGAAGAAAAGAGTGAATGTTTACTTTATTTTCACTACATTTTCACACTCCAGAGGAGTGACGTCCGTGATCACTCGATTTTTTTTAGAGAGTATGTAATGGAGATTAATGCCTTACCAAGGGACACCTAGCACCCGTTAGTGTTACGAACCCGAGCCTTCACGTTTAGGAGATCACTGGGCCATCTCACCCATCAGAGTTGCCAAAGCAAAGCTCCTGATTAAAGTGCACTAAAAGCCCTCTGCACAAGAGGCGAAGAAATGTCTGAAAAAAATGCAGACCAACGCTCAACAACTGAATATACATCAATTATTCCCAAATCCAGACTCTCAACTACCGAAAAAACGTTTTACAGTTGCTGCTTCGAAAGAATATAATTTTAACCTGTCTTGCCACTTTCAAAAGATCCATTAAACATTCCTCTTCCCTCAGAAATAAAGCATGATTTACCTATTTCTGAGTCTTATGTTTCTCTTCACATTCTGTTACATAGTAAGGGATAAGGTACTT